AAGCGCTTATTCCACTGAGCCATCTCCCCGGCCCCCTGGTTTTTTTTATATATTGTGATTTTTCCCTTTAATCAGCCAATTGATTTTAGAATACCTGCCCCTCTTTTTGGAAGCAAGGTCTTCTAATATTTAGTTTTGATTTTTTTGTTGTTGTTGCTTTTGTTAGGGTCTCACTAAATAGCCCAGACTGGGCCTCAGACTCAAAGTTCTCCTACCTCAGCCTCCAAAGTGCTGGGATTACAAGCATGCACCACTGCATCTGCCTTTTAGTCTTTTTTTTAAGTTTATTTATTTATTTATGGGGGGGGCAGCTCAGCCCACCAGGGGGCGGGGCTGGCTGGCATGTGGTGCTGGGGGATGGAACCGTGGTCTCTGTGCTTCGCTAAGCTTGTTCTAAGTAGGTGCTTTAGACCACTGAGCCATCTCACCAGCCCTGGCTTTTAGTCTTGCTTCTAGAACATTTTATCAGGCAGAAGAAAAGTCTTCCTGGTTTGTGTGCATGAACTGTTCATGTGGTATCATTATGTAGCCTTTTATTTTTTTATTTTTTTTTGTTTTTGGTACCAGGGATCAAACTTGGGACATAGAGCTTGCCAGGCAGGCACTTATGCAGCTGAGCTATATTCCTAGCCCTGTGTTGCCTTTCAGATCTTGGGCTTAAAGCAGATATTTTAATAACTATAACAGTAAAGGTCTAAGTGCCTGAAATGGACTTGCAGGACCTCATTCCAGGTCAACCTCAGAGAAAACTACCTACTAGCATTTTTTTTCCTACTAGCATTTTATTAAGAATTCTCTCCCAGTGTTTGGGAAGTTGAGGCAGGAGGAGCTTGTAAAATTGAGACCAGCCTGAGCTACATAGTAAGTTCAAGGCCAACCTGGACTACAAAGCGACATCCTGGCTCAAAAAAAAATTGTGCTTGCTTGTTTTTTGTCCTCCTCTGAAAGCTTAGGCAGATACATGTGTACCCAAACAAAAAGAAAGGGAATTAATCTACCCCAAAACATGTGGTCAAAATCCTTTATTCACATGCCAGGCCCTGGATGAGCAGAAGTGATCAGTGTTTATAATCAGTTTAAGAGTTTGTTGTCCCATTCTCAGTACTGAGTAGCCTGTTATTTTGATGTGTTTTTCTTCTTGGTTTTTTTTTTAACCTTAGCCAAGCGCAGAAGTGTTTACAAGCTGGAGAAAGATGAGCACATCCCAGACGGAATGTGTATTGATGCAGAGGGGAAGCTGTGGGTGGCCTGTTACAATGGAGGAAGAGTGATCCGTCTAGATCCTGCGACAGGTAGGCCCACAGCAAAATGAGCCCTCCCTGACATGTCTAGAAAATACCACATACTCCGGACCGGGGAGGAACCAGGGGTACCTTATTACTAATAAAGAGGGAGGGATCTACTCAGTGGCCTCAGTTAGATAACTTTGGAAATAAAGGCCAAAGATATACCCCAATATTTATAGTTTTCAAGGATGACAAGCTAAATACATGAAAGAAAGTCTTCTTTAGAATGTCCTTGCTTCCCTGCAAAGGCTCCAGAAATATTGCAGAGGCTGGAAATTGCTAGAAGTAAACATTAAAAATTTGGTGATCTAGGGAAAAGACTTCAAACTGTGAAGTTGCCTGTTGAAAAAACAACTTCATGCTGCTTTGGAGGAAAAGACTACTCTGAAATGTATGTGACCTGTGCCCGGGACGGAATAGACCCTCAGGGTCTTCTGAAGCAGCCCGAAGCTGGCGGAGTTTTCAAGGTGATGTGGCTCTTTCTGTGAGGGGGAAACGAGGTAGACACACCTCTGTGAAATGTCTCAGTGACTGGTGCTTTGCAGTCCTCCAAAACCTAATTCAGTTCATTGCCCTATACCTAACAACACTAGATTCAGATATTCTAGACTGGTGGTAGTGACCCTATGGGGCACTGGTACCACAGCAGGCTGTTTGCACCACTGAAAGCTCTAAAAAAATTGTGCTGTTCTAGACCATCAGTTATCTGAAGTCCAGAATGATGTGTTTAGCATACTTTGTAAAGTACTTTAAAATATTTTTGTGCTTCAGTGGTATTTGTTGAAATCCTTCACATTAGCATGATAGACTTGGAGGACACTTTTTTTTTTTTTTTTTTTTTTTTTTTTTTGAACCAGGGATTTTTTTTTTTTTTTTGCAGAACCCGGGATTGAACTCAGACCCTTGCACTTGCCAGGCAAGCACTTATTCTATTGAGCCATCTCCCTGGCCCCAGCATAATAGGCTTGGAAACTCAGTGTTGGAAACATGTTTATAAAATCACTTCTTTGTTTTGATGTCATAAGAACACTTTTAGGGGTTTTTCTTTGGGGTTGTGTAACAGGCTGAGACAGCCTGGACAGTGAGTCCAGGCTAGCCCTGAATCTTCCCTCAGCCTCCCAAGCACTAGGATTACAGGACTACACCACTATATCCAGCTAGTTTCAGATTTTTAACAAACTTTTTCTGCAACAGAACAAACACTGATTGAAAATATATCAATGACCTTTTGAACTGAAATGTATAAATGTAGAAAATGCTTTCTTAAAAGGGAGAAAGATAATTGAAATACATTCAAGTTTTAAAATCTAAATCATAATGGTTGTTAGTTGGATTATAGTCTGTGTCAATAATTGGGTTACACCATAAATACCTTATCGAGTCGAAGTTTTTTTGGTTTTGTTTTTTTTTGTTTGTTTGTTTGTTTGTTTGTTTGAGACAAGATCTTGCTATGCAGTTCAGGCTGGCCTCAAACTCAGCAATACAAGGACCAGCAAGATAGCTCAGAGAATGAAGTGCCTTCTTAAGCAAGCACAGGGGCCAGGGCTCAATCCTTAGCACCACACGCTGCATTGGCCCTGCCCCATAGGTATGCTGAGCCGACAACCAAGTCCAGGCCTGGTGGTGTGCGCCTGTAATCCCAATGCTAGGGAGGCTCAAAACAGAGGATCACTATGAGTCTGAGCTGCGTAATGAGACCTTGCACAAAATACAACAAAAACTCAGCAATACAGCAATCAATCCTTTTGCCTCAACATCCTGAATGCTGGGATTACAGGTGTGCAGCACCATGCCTGGCCATACCTTACTGAGTAATTCCTTTCCTTTCTTTTTTTTTTTAATACTAGGGATTGAACCTAGGGCCTTTACAGTGAGCTTCCTCCTCATCCCTTTTTTTTATTTTTACAGTCTTATCAAGTTGCTAAATTGCCTAGGATGGGCTTTCATTTACAACCCTCCTGCTTTAGCCTCCCAGAGTGCTTGGATTACAGGCATTACCACACCTAGCTAAGTAATTTTTTATGATAGAAAATAAAAGAAAGATAACAGAGCAGATAAATATATTTTTATGAATCATAACAGTGCTTTTGAAGAGTATTTGTGCTTATCTTTTGTAATAGGTTCTTTTCTTTCAACAGATAACTGGCCTGGGGGTCAAAGGCCTCGCCCCCTATGCCTATGCAGGCTGAAGAACAGGTCTTCTTTCCTGCTGCAGGAGGCTTTGAAGACAACTGGAGAATTCTGGAGCCTAAAAAATTCAATCTAATTAGAAAAAAACTGGTTTACTTTTAACGTATAATTTTAGGGGTGCTAGAGATTGAACCAGGGTCTACCACATGCTAAGCATAAGCTCTACCACAGAGCTACAACCCAACCTCATTAATTTATATTTTTCAAAGAACATTTTTAAGAGGATGGCAGGTGGTTTTGATAATATACATAAGGCCATCTGTAAAAAGGTCTGTAAAGCCAACTGTAGTTACACACGCCTGTAATCCCAGCACTCAGGAGGTGGAGGCAGGAGGATTTTGGTGAGTTCAAGGCCAGCCTGGGCTACATTGTGAGTTCAAGACCAGCTTGAACTGTAAAGCCTGACCTTGTCCCAAAATAACAAAAAGGTCTGCAGAAGGGCAAAGCATTGTTCATCTGTCTCCCAGCCCTTGATCCTTTGAACATTGCTCAGAGGGCTTGGAAGAGGACAATATCTGTTCTTTATTCTGCATTCCATACTTAATAGATACCTAAAAAAAAAAAATAGATACCTAAAGCTTAAAAAAAAAAAAAAAACCTAATCACTAGGTACTTAGTGAATTATTACAAGTATGTTCCCCTTTGTTTTCACTTTAATCTCATAAAATATACCATGATGCTAATATATCTTGTCATTACTCTCTTTGTTGTTCTTATTATTCTTTTACCTGTTATTCCTATGTTGTTTTACAAACTAAAATACTGGGGGAGAAGATGCAAATACTCTGGTAAAATCCATGGTTCCAACTGCCCCCTACTGGTTATAAAAGTAATAGATCGCTTTGGAAAGATTTTTTATTTTAAAGTAGTTTTGAAGTTATAATTAGTTCGTACATATTTAAAGTATCCAACTTGACAGATTTATCTAATATAATTACATTAATGGCACCAGAATGACAAATAAGATAATGAATGTATTACTGTCCTAGTTACTTCTTTCGTTGCTAAAACAAAATACCCAGTACTCAAAGTTAAAGGAGGAAAGATTTATTTAGCTCACAGTTGTAGAGATTTCAGACCATCATCTCTGGCTCCAAAGCAGGTGGCATGGACGAGGGGCATCACAGAACAGAAACAGTCCATGGTAAAGTGGGCAGGCAGAAGAGAACAAAACAAAGAAGTAGCAGCAGCAGCAACCAAACCAGGCTATCTCTCAGCAGTCTAAAGCTCCTGCTTACGCAAGTTTAGGCAAGCGTAGGGACCACAGTTCAATCCCCAGCACCACATGCTATACAGCCTCGTCCCAGGGTACACTGAGCCGACCACAAAAAAAAAATACAAACCAGACTATCTGCCCCAGGGTGGGGCAGGCTTAATCCCAGCAGCACATACCTTAGGTCCAGCCACCTCAGAAAAGCCCCACTTAAGACCACAGGAGGCTTTGGGGGGACTTCTAGATACAAACCATAAAAAGTACCCACAAAACCTTCCTTATATCCTCATTTCTGACACTGACAAAAGGATGTACAAAAGGTAGTACAGGGCTACAGGATAAAACCTGAGAGTACTTGGCTGACCTTATCAGATACAAAAGTTACATTTCTTCTTACATAGGTCTTGCTATATCTTGGTCTTAGCCATCCAGCAGAAAAGTATAAAAACGAGGTATATAAAGTAAAGCCATGTCTTAACCATCCAGTAGAAAAATATGAAGTCAAAATATAAGAAATAAAGCCATGCTGTTAAGTTGAGCTGTGGGGGACTCAGGTCAATAATTTCTGACATTGGGCTGGTGAGATGGCTCAGTGGTCCAAGGCACCTACTTGGAACAAGCTTGGCAAAGCACAGGGACCGCGGTTCAATCCCCCAGCACCACATGCCAGCCAGCCCCACCCCCTGGTGGGCTGAGCTGGCCACACACACACACACACACACATACACATAAATAAATAAATAAATAATTTTAAAAAAATAATAATAATTTCTGACATTGCCAGTTAAACAGAAGACCCAATGCTATTATGGGCTACTGGACTCTTAGAATATTTTGCTGAGTTTACACACCTATAATATTCAATAACAGAACTTAGAAAAAATGGGGTATACCAATGAATGTCCATTTTGTATCTGTGTATTCAAAGAGGTTAGGATAGATATATAGTTGCATTCTCTTAATGAATAGAATGATTTGTTCTAATGGTGTTTGTAAATAGGATCACAAGTCCGCATCTTGTACAGCAATTAACCACTAAGAAGAATATATGCAGTGTATTATGTGTTGAAACTGTACTTCCGATTTGATTTGAAACTGTCTCATTGCTGTTTATCAATAAAACTTTGGAAAAAAATAAAAAAAAATAAAGAGTATGGCATTGGGATAAAAAAAAAATAAAGTAAAGCCATATTAATACGATGAGCTGTAAAAGGCCCAAGTCAATAACTTCTGAGGATAACCCACTAATATTATAGACTGCTAGACAGTGTTAGATTGTTTAGCTGAATTCAAACACCTATAGTATTTAGATGCCAATAGAATATCCACCTCTGACAGGACAAAAAAAAAGATACAAAGGAAAGATTATTTTGTATTTATATATACAAAATAGTTAGGATAGGTTTACAGCTACTTTTGTTTAATTCAATGAGAAGAAAGAGGTATAGTAACAGTGTTTGGACAGGATATCCTGTCTGCTTCTTGTGCTATCAATAACCACTAAGAAGATAGCAATGTACAATGTACTGATTATCAAAACTGTACTATTAATCAGCTGTGAGACTGTCTCATTCATATTTATTTCTCAATAATTAATAAATAAATAATTCCTTATGTCCCGCTGTAATCCTTTCCTTTGGCCATGCTGAATGCCTGTTCTGCTTTCTGTTACTATAAAATAGCCTCAGAATGGGGCAGTGTAATTTATTGTGTTCTTTCTCAGAATTATTTAACTATTCTTTTGGTCTTCAGTTGTATTTTATTTGTTTTGTTTTATTATTTTATTTTATTTTTTGGTGCTGGGTATTAAACCCAGTGCCTTGTAACGTTAAAATACCATTGTACTACAAAATTAGCCCCACTACAATTTTTTTCTGTACTTATTTAGCCAAAACATTTTTTAAAAAATACTTTTTATTTAAAAATACTTATGTTTTCAGCATTGTACTGACATTTGACCCTAGCTCAGAGTCTTCACTCTGAAATACATCTCCAGACTTTTTTATTTTGTCTTAACAATAGGATCTCACTAAGTTGCCCAAGCTGGGCTCATACTTGCAATCTTCTTGTCTTAACATCCCTGAGTACTAGAATCACAGGTGTGTGTCACCTCTCCTGGTTCGTATTATAAATTTTATTTTTTTTCACATTATAAATTTTAGAAGCAGCTTAATTATATCTACAACAAAGTAACACTTTTAATTGAAATTTCTTTAAATCTGTGGAACAATTTGAAAGAATTTACTATTTTGAGTCTTCTAATCCAACTTAGCATGTCTCTCCTATTATCTAAGTCTGCTATTTCTCTCAAGAGCATTTTATAGATTTGAGCACACAGATCTTGTACATGGGTTGTTATATTTATATCCAAAAATTGTTTTTAGAGCTATTATAATTTTTAAACTTTTTCTAATTGATAATTATTTATCACTAGAAGTATGACTGGCATCTGTATCTATTGACTTTGCTAGGGAGGTAGCTCAGCAGCATAAACACCTGCCTGTCAAGCATTAAGCCCTGAGTTCAATCCCTGGTACCAAAAAAAAATCATTCCTTTATCTATTAACTTTGTTAAACTCATTTATTCTAATATTATTTATGGAGGCTAGGGAGATGACTCAGTAGAATAAGTGCTTGCCTGGCAAGTACAAGGGCCTGAGTTCAATCCCCAGTTCCGCCAAAAAAAAAAAAAAATTATGTAGCTTCTTTGAGATTCTTTTAATATATAATTGTATTAACTGTGAGTAGAGAGTTTGTTTCTTTCTTTCCAATCTGCATGTTTTCATTTCTTTATGTGTTGCCCTAGTGGCTAAGACTGCCAACCTTATAATGACTTCTAGTTTGCTGAGTTTTCTTCTTTTTTGTATTTTAGGGAAAGGTCTACAGGGTGTTCAGGGTCCCACTACTAGATCGGACTCGTAGTCATCCACCTGTATACAGCCTCCCAAGAGCTGGGATTACAGGTGTGTGCCACCACACCCAGTCTCAATTACAGTCTCAGTGCACCCTGGGGGCAGGGCCAGGGATCAAACCCTCAGTGCCTGTGCCTGCTTGCAGGTGCTTTAATCCGCTGAGCTATTTGGCCAGCCCTTGAGGTTTGTTTTGCGGTACTGGGGATCAAACTCAGGACCTTGTGCTTGCCAAGCAGACGCTTATGCCACTGAGCTATATCCCAAGCCCTCTGAGAGATTTTCTTATTACTTTTCTGAGATGCTGGGGAAAGACGTCGAGATCCTCATGCATGCTAGGCAAGTACTCTACCATTGAGTGACATCCCTAGCACTCCATTTTCTTTTTTTTTTAACTGTCCGTATTGTTATATTTGCAGTGAGTGAGTATGTGTGACTGGGGTGACTGGGGACTGGACCTAGGGTGATAGCACACTGAGCTATATCCCTAGATCTTCTTTTATTTTGAGACAGGGTCTCACTAATTGCACAGGCTGGGCTCAAACTCGAGATACTCCTGCCTCACTTTCCACGTGATTGGATTAAAGGTGTTCCTGGGCCGGGGAAATGACTCAGTAGAATAAGCGCTTCCCTGGCAAGCATAAGGGCCTGAGTTCAATCCCCGATTCCACCAAAAAATAAATAAATAAAATAAAGGTGTTCCCTACCACTCCTGGCTGCTTAGTTTCTTGAATCTGTAGATCTTTATCTAATTTGGAAAGTTTGGAGTCCTGGTTTCTTCAAATATTTTTTTCTGTCCTATACTCATCTCTTCCTGATAATTTGAGTATTGGATATAGCACAGGTTCCTGAGGTTGTTCAGTTTTTTAAATCTTTTTTCTCTGTTCTTACTGAATAATTTTTATTACTCTGTCTCCAAAACTGGATTTTTCCTCTATTCTGAAATCTCATTGTTGGCCCAAGTTTGGTTATCTTTTCCTATTTAAATTAAACATTTCATTGTTCTCTGTACTGTAATTTTTATGTATTTGGCACAAGGTCTCACTACGCAACTTGGACTTGTAGTGTTCCTCCTGTTTCCAGCATCCCCAGCATTGGGATTACAGGCATGTGCCACCATGCCTGGTCTCCATGGTCGGCTCAGTGTACCCGGGGTTGGCGCAGGCACAGCCTGTGTTGCCAGGGATTAAACTCTGGTCCCTGTACTTGCCTAAGCAGGTGCTTAGTCTGATGAG